CTTTCATATCCACATTTTTAAATGATTATTTTGTTGTCAGTCATCTTCGATAAGAATTTTAAATATTAATTCTTAATTATCAATGTTGTAAGTGCGAGATAATTGAATATAATCGATTTAATTATTCTTGGTGGGTGGTGTTTACGATTGTGCAATTTTCGAACCTAAAGGCTAGGTTATTTGTTCCATTGCGGAGTGGCTAAAATTTTTTAATTAATTAATTTCTACAAAATTGTGTGTTGCATAGACTGATTCAGAGCTTCGGTGAGGGGTGAAACCTTTAAGTCTATACTTTCAACGATTTTGAAAATCGCATGGATAATATCTCACTTTCAATGCTTTTTCATTGTTGTTATAAATGTGTGCGTAAAGTTCTAATCTGAATATATCGTAACAAGTCACCTTAAATTGTATACACTAAATGTGCATGAAGAGACATATCTTTAAATATCAAATTTCGAGATTTGTTGGTTGAGAGAAATAGTAAATACACAAACTTGAATGTACTGAAATCACAGTTCTCCACTGAATGCCAGTCGGAATCGAAAGTACATCTAAAAATATAAAGCTACACCCTATTTTACATATTATTCAAAAGACAACCCAAATTGCGGGTGTTAAATCATTTATAAAATAATTGGTTTTCATGAATTGAGAACATTTAGAATATTTGAATTGGAGTAATACGTATCTTATTGCTAACTGACCTTTAGAAAAGTTGCATCAAGTCAAATTTTGAAATATTTTGAGCATTTCCACTCAATTAAAATTATCTTATCACTTTTTTGATAACTAATATTATCCCATTAGTTGATTTCTGGCTTCCTAATACCTCTGGATTTCCGTCGTTGTCTTTATTGCTGGACATCGAATCAGGTGAGTCTTCTCCATTCCCATAGGGGCATGTTGGCTGAGTGTATACTCCAATTCTGTAAAGGCAATCGTCTAAACCCTGCATCTGCTACGATTTGTGACCAGTCGACTTCTCCTTTGTTCGAGTTTCAAGTCGCGAATTCTCAATTCATTAAGGTATCCATTGTGTGAAAGACATCGGCCGGTTTATGTCTTACAAAATTGCAGTCTCCAATTGGCAAATGTGTCCGAGATCCGTTGAAGAACTACTGTTTTGTTTTTTTCTCTCATTAACTGATAAAGTCTTTTACTCTTTAGGGGGGGGGGGGGGGGGGGGGAGGGGGTCTCTGTTTCTAATTGAATTTATTGCTGAACGCGAGTCTGAAAGAATCACCGCTTTGGTGAATTTCGTACCCAGGCAACATAATTGGCCTAGTGGTATCTTAATGGCTTCTATTTCCCCTTCGTATGCGGATCTAATTTGTCCCGCAGCTGCAAAGATAGAGGATAGTTCAGAACAAACACCTGCACCAAAGTTTGCTTCTTTTTCTACGTATAACTCCTCAGTGAAGACTTGGAGCCATTGATCTACAGGATAGTTGATATTGATTATCTCAAGGACCAATGAGCACATTTGTTATGGAGGGGTGTTTGTTTTCCTGAAATGGTCAAGCAGTTGGATGCGAAATTGCACTTCAGTGTCTGCTAATGGGTTTTGGGGCAAAGAGGGGTTTTTAGTATGTATTCAATTTGTAATGTTTTCTTCAGATCTATGAAATTCTGTAATAGGCCAGATTGCGTTTCTAGGTGTCTTGGCCTATTTTCATTGGTGCTGAAGAAATTGTCCATGGGAATGCGCAGTAGTTTCTCATACAGGGTCAAAACCTTCTCTTGTTAAACTGGCGTATTGTGGTGTTCCCTGTAACCAGGAGCATTGTATCAACGGGTATTGATTTTATCACACCAGTAATTAGTCGTATGCCTGATTGTGTGTCTTCTCGAGTGGTTTGAGAATCACCTCATAGACTGTAATGAGTATTTCGCGGCAATAAATCTCGTTCTGCTATTTTGGCAGTGTGATTTTCCATTTTATTTTTGTGCGTGACGTCACTTCCAGATAAGCGAACTCGTTGGTTTGTTCTAGAGTAGTATCCTTGAGTGTTGAGAGTGAATTTATGTTGTGGTGGGTCAATTAAAATAATTGGAATGCGATTTTTGAGGTGTTGATAACCATAATAGTTTAAGTGCATAATTTAAGACACTTTCCGTCCTCTTCTGAGCGTGGTTTTTCATGTTTGGTGTCATGCATTTGCTGTTGGTGGTAATATTAGCAATGACTGGTTTGGAACCAGAACCCGTATTGCCAATTAACTTGCGTTGTGTGAGCTCACTAATGTCGCTTGAAGCCAGGAGCAAGTCAGGGATTGTTCTAGTTCCATTGCAATGAAGGTACGTAGCCGAAACCCAATAACTGAAAATAAGTTCAAGTGGACTGCTGTTGAGCACGTCTTCGATTTCCTTTTCATCTGTGTTTGTGTTCTTATAGCTTCATCTGGTGGATGGGCGTTGGAGCTTCCAAGTACTACAGTTTTGTGTGGGATGTTCAAACGTTCGAAGTTGCGTCTATTCTGGGATGGACATGAGGCCTTCTTTCACTCCAGTCAATACTCCCCATGCTACTTGCCGGTCTTTAGGCAGAAGATAAAAGATGCAATTTAGATGAAGCCTAATTATAAATTATGAAAGCATATAGCTCTCTTTCATTGAATTCAACTCAAAATTCCTCCTCAACTGGTATTTATAGAATATTTTCTCTTTTTTACTCAGGGGCATTATTATTTTTTTCACAAAACTAATAGGTATTGATGAAGCTCATACCTGACTAACATTTTACATTTCAACACGTCTTTACCTTAAATAATAATACTAATTTCGATGGAAGTTAGGCCCCATAAACTTGCATTTTGCCAATAATTCTTTGGAGTAAACAAAGTCACATGAATATTGTAGTTTGTGCTTTTAAATAGACGATTCAATTTTGTGTTAAATACGAATATTTTCACATTGAGCTGCTATCTTCGATTACTTTATTCTACTCAATCAATCAGTTGCTACGTTATCTGTAAATCAACATAATTTTATAAAATGCACGCTTCTTCACTTTGTACATTTGGTAAAGTAGGTAGTAAATTCAATATTTCGACAACATTACATCATTATTTTTTGTTCATGGTACTAGCTTTACTTAATTTAATATCGTGTCAATATTAGCATAACCTATAAAATTCAACTTTTTTCGAATAATTATGGATTTCAAGGCAATCAATAATAATATCCATATATAGTGAAATGCATTAGAATTCAAAATAAAAGGTACATTGATTTTTTGACACAGTAGAAATTCCACGGTTTGGAAATCGATTTGAACAAATAAACGAAGTGAAATAGTATTTACAAATAAAACACAATAGATGCTTATTTGTTTGAATTACCTCTAGTCGTAAAATGTGATCACCATTCGATCTTTACCATTTGGTCGATTACAGCTCAAGTCCTTTTCTTCTATCAGAATTAACAACACCAAATGAGATTAAGAGTATACACCTGGTAGGAAGACAAGTTAACTTACATTGCACTCAACAAATGCCCACCTCATGAATAAACACTTAAACGTCATAAGAATGAAGCCATAAATCACAGTCTGATCTTGAAGGTTGAATTATAAGCAGAGATAAATAAGCGAACATTTTTGGCACCTAACAGGAACTATTCCAATTTTCCGTAATTGGGAATCTGACAACGTACTTGCCTAATACTTAGGTCTACGCTAATATTTTATGCCATGAGAGATAATTGAGTGGTCCCCATTGAAATTGGTTTGGTTGATTATGATGGAAATCGAAGATCATAAATCAAACGAGGGACTTGTGAAGAAGTAACCAGGAGAACCGGATTCCCTTCAACTCACCTCTCCCTTGGCAATATTATCGAATAATCTTTACTACAGCTTTAAAGTGGAGAAGAAATAATGATGGTTAAAAACTGTCCTAAAGTAGTGAGCATGATCAAAGGGTAGGGAGAGATTGAGTCCGTGGAAACGAGACTGGGGTGAATTTCAGTGGGCGGATTCCTGTGGGCACTGCTCCTTGCATAGGTTGGCAGGGAGCAAGCAAGGCAATTCTAATGAATGAGTCGGGACTTTGTGGAGATAGTATTTCTAACTCGATCCAAGAAGTCAGTCAAGTTGGGTGGAGGGGGGGGGTGGCTTCAAGTACAGGTTTGTCAATAATGACAAACTCAGCAAAGTAAAATAGAACCCCTTGTATTAATCAATTATTTTTATTATTCAAAATATAGAAACGTTATCTAGAAGAGAAAACTCGGAATTTTCTAAAAGGTTTTCGTGCATCAAGATGCAGTTAACGCCTTTGTATTTATTACTGGTCTTTGCTATGTGACTCCGTTTTATAGGGAGACAACAAAATACTAACCCATAATTTAAACGATGGTCAATTTACACATTGCCTACGTAACTAAATGTGGGTTTATCCACTTTATTTACGTTGGCATACATGCCTTTATTTCTCGTACATCATTTCAATTAAATTTTGGACACACGCAATGCATTAGATCGCGCATCTTAACAGGATATACTTTTCAACACCTACCAAATTATCTAAGGATGCAACTTTCAACATGACGCATTTTTTGCAAGAGGCTTTCATAAAAATTTACCTAAACAACGCCCTTAAAAATCAATAAATGTGGTTATTAGTATGATATTCCAGCCAGAGATAAAAGTAGCAGTTTACCTAGTTATAGTGCAGACTACTTAAGGTTTAGTGTAAAATAACCAAATATTGTGACAAAGTGTATAATANNAAGTATAAAAAGCTTCAGAACGTTTGTCAAGCAAAAACTTTCATATCTTCTTAAACGTATATCTTAACGTATCAAGTTATGCACTCTCATTGAAATTAATAACTAGATTTGCATTCAGTCTGCCTATTTATTCTTCACCAGCACACTTTAACATTCTTCTCAGTAAGAAGAGCATTCGGGTGGTAGACGCGGATTCAGTCCATTTTTCCTCATCGGTAACTTTTTGGAGCATTTGCCACCGAGAAGGGGATGAATAGTTTTCTTAGGGAATATAATAGATAGCAATTTCCACCCTTTCTGTTGTCTATAATGAAATTAGGCTTTCTGTGTTTAATTGCGTTGAAAATTTTCCTTCTCTATTGTCATAACAGTATTCACTTTTGATTTCGGTTTCAATGTGGAGACAAGAATTCCTTCAGAATTCCGCTGTGAATTATAAGAATGCTCTCTGCCTCACTCTCTTAATGAATTATAATCACACTTGATTACCCTATTTTAAGCATTTCCCAGCAGGATCCTTAAATATGGCTTCATTACTCTGTTTGATCTTTCTAAGGATAAGGCAGTGGATATTAGTAGATAAAGGGTCTCTAAAACAGTGAAATAATCGATACTTCAAGATTGTCAGTGTTTCAAATCGTGTTAATTTGGCATCATGACTATTTTTGCAAACCAATGAGAGTGCAGTTAGGCCATTGATTATGTTTTATGTTTTTATGTGTGCTTATCAAATACACTTAAACATCGTCCTTAAAAATCAATAAATGTGGTTATTAGTATGATATTCCAGTCAGCGGCTTGTTGATACTTTCTCATTCACTGTCTCCGTTTTCTCTAAGTCGTTGTAACTAAAGTCCTTGATGGAGGAGTTAAAATTGAGCATGAAACTTCCTATTCTTCAATAAATTTCTGCTTTTAGAAGAAAGTAAGTTTATTTGGTCACATGAGCAATATTAATGTTCACTGTGTGGGACACGTCATCGCATGCGCGTACACATAGGCTTGAGGTGCGGCTGTACAACCTCGCGTACGGATTGAGGACAAGAGCACGCAGCCAATAGCAGCTCAGTGACCCTCACTTGTTTTACCAAATCCGCCATGTTGTATGACTGAGTTCCTTCCTTTGTACACTTCTTACGTGGTTTATCTATTGAATAAACGTGCTCCGTGCTAAACGTCTGTTTCCTTCATAGCTGGGCTATAGCTTAGCTGGTTCTGGGAGTCTAGCTAGGTGTTGGAGAATTTCCCATAGAGATTTCTGAGTCAGTCAGGCTTTACTAAGGTAGCAATCCGCTACAGACTGAATATTAATTTAATAATCATTGCTTGAATAATACCCACAAATATCCGCTTAGAGGAAGAAAGGTTTTTTTCGATTTTTGGCCAGAAAATAGTAGCTCCAGTGTTTTAATCTGTTCATTTATTTCCAAAATTAAATAATGATTATTCCTGTTCAATAAGCCTTTGATTATTTGCAATTACAATGAAATGTTAGTTTGATTTAAAGTTATTTCGACATTTGAATTATATTCATAAAGGGAGCTCATGCTTTAGAAGTCATGCCTTGTGGCATTCTATTCCCACTAGACATTAAAGAAGTATTAACTTGATACTGCGTCATCTGGAATGGCATTGGGCCTAATTCAGAACTCCAAAGCAACAAGTTTGGGAAAGATATATTTTGAAGGGAAACTGGCTGCGTCCATTTGTTTGATAACCTGGTGTGGACTGTGGTTGGGAATTCCCATTTAATGTATATATTTATTTATTTATTTTAAATGGCAGGCGTTTTGATAGCTATCATTAGCCATTTAGCTGACTTCAGGCTTCACAGAGGGAAGGTTCATTAATTAGAAGAAAGTCGAGGGGTGGGGTACAGAAGAGCGATTCACAGATGTAAAAGAGGCACACAGACACAAAGGTAGAATGTTAACAAACACCCGCACTCAATTCGATTAAGTGCATTTGCCATTTATTCGAATGCGCCTCGAATATTTTTGAAATTATAACCAAAAATCGGGCCATTTCTTTTAAGCTGAGAAAGAAGAACAGGAAATTCTCTTTTCTATGTCTTCCAAAATTAATCAATCATTAGTACCAACTGTAGGGTCAAAAAATAGGAGAAAGTGAACTTATAAATATTGGCAAAGGAGGAAGTATATACTTCAAATTCCAAACCTATCAAAAGGGAAATTGTGAGCTCCGCAGGTTCAGAGTTCAATCTCCATTGATTTACCTCTAGAGATCGGAATGACTGGTGTGTTCAGTTGATTCAAATTATTGTAACTGAGAAAGAGGTAACTTTAAATACTATCAGTAGTGTTAGCCAATACTCTGAACACTGCCATTTTCTCGCAAAAATCGATGAATCGGAGGCAGCTTGAAAGAACTCTATAGGCATGGATTTGATGGAAAACATTTGTTTTCTCCCATTCAGTTCCCAAAGAAGGTCTATCAAAATGCCTGTCGCCTACCCCTAAGATGATTTAGGAAAGTAGCATCAATGATAGCATTGGTTCATTTTACTACTTCAATAGACATTTAAAAGTTGAATTTCTGTGACCTTATGACAATGAGATTTCTCTTGCTTGAATCAATTCAATAATGATAACAGTATAAATATAGCGCCCCCTCTCAATTAGTTCCCACTATCTTCAAATTCTTCGCAAATTCAAATTAGACTTTTATTAAAAATATATTCACATATTTCCGATACTTTCACAAACCTTGGTGATACGAAAGAACTTAAAATGATTTATTAATAACCCGAGGCGTGTAAATTATTTCGTTTGATTAAAGTAACTGCAGCGTTTTGCTATCAGATAAAGTAATTCAACCCTTTACGCGGCGCGATTTCATTCACGCAGTCACTGACTGCATTAATAAAAAAATATCATTTAAGTGGAAATGGGTTTTACATATTTACAGATGGTGGATACGTCAAATAAAAAAATTAATCAAGCAGTTGAATCTCTATAGGTAGCAAAGGAGACGCAATTATCGTAGAATGAGCAAGTGCCTATCTGAGCCTCAAACTGATCCGAAGACCCATTATTGATTTGCCAATCGACACCGTAGGCGAGTTTTTCCGTCGGTCGATAAAATGCAGCCGTGGCAACGGGTTTTAAATCATCAGATCCGAAATGCGTAACATGAACCACTGCAAAGCCAGCGTGCATACAGGCCATCAGCACATGGTGACCGTTAGGAGACCACTTGTGTCGCCAAACACCGCCGCCTTCACTGTGGAACACAACGAGTTCCTCGGGCTTATCGCTCCTTGTTTTTCGAAGGTCCCATAGACGCAACTTCTCATCAAAGCTGGAAGAAAAAAAGAGTCCCATGAGCTTGATGGTGACATAGCATGCATACCAAATCAGAGATGCGAATACCACAGCTGAGAAAAAGGAATGAAAAGCAAGGCCTCTCAACTGCGAAACAATCATTCTGCTATCCAAGGTTAGTATGTGAAAACAAGTTGTTTAAGTGAGCATTAAATGACAGCCAATGAAAATATCACTATAAATAATCGATAATAGAATGGTAATTATGAAATAAATATGAAAGATATTAGTGGCGAAACACGCAAAGGAAAAAACTATCTGACACCCCTCTTTAGAGAGCTTAAAATAAGGGATAATTTATAGTCTTGAAAGTCATTCATATGACTCACCAACCGGTAGAGATCAAGTGAGAATGCATTGGAACTCCATAGAGACTACAAACACCCATTTCGTGTCTAAATTAAGATAAACAGTAAGCCCATTTAAAAATTTACATTACTTCTGATCGAAAACCGATTGAGAAAAGCCGACACGCTGATCCCAAACACGAGCCATGCAATCATCTCCCCCTGTTAACAACAAATAATCATCATTTCTGTTGAACTGTGCACACCAAGGCTCATATTCGTGTGCTTTCCATTTGCAAATGACATGATTGTCGGAAGCATTAATGAGATAAATAAATCCGTCCGCATCCGAAGTTACTATTCTTAAAACAGTTAATAACAAATAAAAAATAAGCAAACTTGTTAGAGTTGAAGTCAATTGAAAGAAGTAAACTTTCAGAAACCTTATTAATACTGTGTACAGTAAGAGGTTGGGAGGGATGCGATTGGATTGTGTAAATTTCCCCCGAACTCGAGGCCACGAGGCATAAATCGGGGCACATCCACGATAGATCAAGAACTCCGGGGAGATCAATTTCAAAAGATTTGTTAGCTTGATTTGGGGAAATCTCATAACAAATGACACTTCCATAGCGCTCCCGGGTAGACTAAAAAATCCTCGTTAAGTTTAGCGCATCCTTTCATTTATTTGGTAATTAAAGTTTATTTAAGAAAGACCTTGGTTTAATTACTTCATTAAGTTCATATGTTCCTATCAAAGCCTGAGATCCAGAAGGCGAAAATTCAACTGCATCGGTGTGCAATCTTAAAGTCCATGATGAAATTTCTGAAAAACTCATTCCTGGACAATTTGTGAAATGGGGAAACCCAATAGCCCTAGGTATTCCGCGTACACGTGAAGGGATGACCTTGGATGATCATGTGAAGAATTGGGAAATTCCATAAATTTCGGAGAAAGAAAAATACTAACATTTCATTATTTAAAATCGAATGATATTTAACTGAATTAAATTCATCATTATTTTGGTTCTACTTGAGTGAGATATTTATAGTGTGGAATGCTTGAGTTACAATTGAACTTTCCAGTATTAATTTTATCGAGTTGCCAACATATTTCAATATTTTTTTAATTTTTTCAAGTAATATAAATTTGGAAGACATAATGCTTGACAAGCCTATTTGAATTGATTAAAATGCAAAGTTCTGTAACTCAATATATGTATATATATAATATCTGACAGCTCCTCCGATTTCACCAATTCAATTTGGTAGTAATCGGAGTTGTATATTTAAAATTGTTTTCTTGTTACATTTGGCATTTAGAACAGGAAAGGCTATATAAGTCTGTTAAATTCATTCAATGTGGAGTCTTCTTAAACATATGCAAATATCTCCTATCTTGATCAATACTATTGAGATAATTCGATTTATTCCATCTCCTTAAATTACGTGTAATTACGCGTTTTTGCCTAGCATGCCTATCAAAATTCTCGCGTAATTTATATCGCTTAGACCCGGATTAAAGGCTAATAATATTAACTTTATCGCATTTATAGTAAGAGATTAGTTTTGACTTATATCAATTGAGCACGATGCTTTGAACCTGACATTTTTCCCCGAGCCTTTCTAAATGCATAGAAAGTTGAATTTTTGGTTTATGACACTTTCATCATGGAATGTATGGACTTTTATCAAGATTACGTTTCAAAAGATATTCTCGTAAAGGTGATTGCTCGGTCTTCATATTGTACCGAGCTGTCCGACTCACTAACAATTATTATTTTTGTGTAATTACAGGTTTGATATTACATAGTCTAAAACATATCGTTCTAGTTTAGTAATAGCACTTAAGTTGCATTCGGTAATGGACAAAATAATTTCGTATAGAACAAGTTCAGAGTTTAATATACGTAGTTTTAATGGCGCATTTAGCGGTTCATAGAAAGTAACTCGCCTCTGAAGACGAATAAAAGGGGTATTTAAAAAGAAAAATGCATTTCATTATATGCTAAATGTTCTTCCTAACTCAGATTTTAATTCTTAAGATTAAAACACCAATTAAGTTATGTTTAGCCTCATGGGTAGCATTCAACAAATCAGTTTCATTTACATATCCTGATCAGACATTGGTATTCGTATCAATTAATACCTCTGTTGCCAAAATATAATTATTTATTATACGAACGGAAAATCGACATTGCAAATTATTTAACGAAAATCAAGGGGTTAATCGATCACAATGGTTTATGATTTTCGAAATTATGATTGCTCTTTAATTAATGGTCTCCCTTAATGCAGCTTTCAATAAAGTTCAAATTCAACAGAAAGTGGAATTGAATGCTATGCCCACTAATATTGGTTAAATACCATTCATCTTTATGGATTTCATAAAAAATACGGATTGTAGTAGTAGTTTTACAAGGCGGAATTTCAGAAGAAATAGATGATTTCTTATTGAATAACTCTGGGCTTTAAATTCTTTCCAAAATAGTTCACTCAGTACAAATTTAATGCTTTATCAACTGTCATCATTAGGTCAATACTTCCGGCTTTTAAGGTAGAGTACATGAAATGGATTCTCATTGGTGCATATCTGCGGAAGTAACAGCTCTGCAAGAAGGATAGTAGAATGACAGGTTCTCAACTATTTCCTTAATAGGTCTGATAACCTTTTTAAAGTGCCTGACCAAGATAGGGTTATATTTCAGCCGATCAGTGAGGGCTTCGACTAGCCATTTAGATTATCTTCAATCTAGCAAACGCTGAATGCACTTAAAGAAAAAGAATCTTACCTAGACATATAAAATGGATTTTAGTTTTGACCAGTTTGACTGCTTATTAAATATAAGTAAAACGTATAATTGAATGAATATTTATTTATATCAAATGGCAGGCGTTTTGATGGTTATCAATAGCCCTTTAGTTGACTTCGGGCTTCACAGAGGGGAAGGAACATCGAAGTGAGAAAAAGTCGAGAGGGGAAACAAAAGAGTAATTCACAGATATGAAAGAGACAGACAGGCACAAAGGTAGAGAAAAAGGTTACGATCAAATATGGCATACAGTGGGATCATGGTAATTTGAAGAGAGAAGTCAACTGTCGGTTAATAGACCTTTTATGTCGTATGAGTATACATGGAGATAAGTCTATGGCACACCCCATTGAATAAATACTAAATTCATCTTTCCTAATATTTCCAATGAAGATAAGGTACTCAGGTGTAGAGAAATTATCAAGAAGCTGGCGAACGAATGCAAATAGCAAAATTTTTCATTGACGCTATAAAGCCTATGTTAACTTCCTATTTTTATCAAAATTTAATTTAAGTCTGAAATTGTTTTTCCTCCCCGAAAGGAATATCCTTGCACATTGAACATTTTTTCCTGAGTCTACTAAGTACCATTGGTAAAAGTTCCGACGTTCCAGTTTTGGTCCTCTCCTCCCCCCACCCCCCCCCCCCCCCCCCAACCCCCAAACTGCTATTTTTGTGATGTTTTAGCTGAAATTACACCTCTGATAAGTTTACTTGTTTTCTTTTTCAAACTATTAGTGAATTTATCAGCTATGGTAAGATGAATACACTATTAAATTTTTTAGTACTTGGGCAAATTATTTACTCTTAGCAACGCCTACTGAAGGTGAACTATGTGGTAGGCAAAATGAAAGAAAAATGGAAATTATAGAGGAAATATAAGAAAAAACTTAATTTAGTCAATTAAAACCCAATTTAATCAAATATATTTTTCCTTTGAGAGAAAAATAACCAACTCCTATGGTAGGTTTTTTTCCAACTACCTGCATGTTGTGGGATAACGCGACTCTGTGTTACCGTTTGTCCTCAAAGAAGATGGAACTCCAGTGCAATGGGGTGAAATTCGACTCTACCAATTGTTTATTTATAACAAATGGCAGGCGTTTTGATAGTTATCATTAGCCCTTTAGTTGACTTCGGGCTTCACAGAGGGGGGGGGGAGGAACATCAAATTGAGAAGAATTCGGGAGAGGGAATAGAAGAGTGATTCACAGATGTAAAAGAAACAGACAGACACAGAGGCTCAGAAAGGGTAAGATGAGTACTGTGATAGGGGTCGAATATGGCATACAGTGGGGGTGATGGCAGTTTGAAGTGAGAAGTCAACTGTCGGTTAATAGACTATTTGCCGTATGAGTATACGTTGCCCAGGGTGCACCACGAGAAGGTAAGTCTATCCCACACCCCACTCTACCAATTATGAATGTTCGCCAAATGAAGGCATTAGTCTTGTCTATAAACGAGATCACTGTTCCTCTGTGGTAATTATCAGCAAGGAGTTCCTGTTTTCGGTTGTTTTAAGTTGGAGATGGAACCCCCCCCCCCCCCCCCCCCCCCCCCCCACCCTTCTGAATGTCATCCACTGTAGTACTACAGGATTCAATGCGAGTCTGGCTCAAAGATCATTTAGAAAAGCTGGACCATGTGCTCTTTAGCAGAGAAGTGAAAAATTGGCTATCTCGATTCCTCATGCAACTTGACATGTTTCCGTGAATTGGAAAACGACCAGAATTGGATTCCTAGGCTTCATTTGCTAAGATGAACGCTAAAGTATCTTCCAGGGGGATGTTAAGTTGCAGCTTTCTGAATGAAGTTCTTAAAGTTGCAAGAACTTGTAAATGCTTTTCCTTATTTCGAGCAGGGAAATGTGCGAGATATAGTTTCAGAATCCCGCCTCCATTGATAGTAAAATCTTAGCAAAATACACATTAAGTTTGTGAATAAATTTAGTGCTTTAATCATGTTAAAATTGTCCTCTTATTTTCATATTTTAATTGCATTAACTTGCAGTACTGTCAACGATTAATTTAGCACTTTATAATTGGCATGACAACAAGTTTCTATCTCACTCTTCACGTGTGACTTGTTTCATGCTGTTTTGAGTGTCCTCTTCACCTCATCCTAACTTGTCTGCACAGAATGTGAAAGTTCATTGCAAAACTTCTCTCTCTCTCACTCTCTCCCCCTCTTGCCCCCTCCATCTCTCTCGCTGGCTCATGTGCTAAAAACAATTTGGCTAAAGTCATTTTCACATAATAATAATAATAATAATAATACTTTTCTCACTTCCATCTTTTAAAATTATGAATGATTCATATAACGAAGTCATTTATTTACAGAGTATAATTTGTAAATAAAACAGGGCTTTATTTGAATAACCAGAGCAAAAAAAAGTGGATCGTCCCTATGAATCAGCTCAAAATGCGTGGAATTTATGGTACATCCCTTTTTTAATATCGATCCGTTGCATCTGTGCGGTGAATTATTGCGACCCTGACTAGCCGCAAAGATGGAAACAACGTGTCAGTTATCTGGGTGATAGATTCTGACGTGTCGACTGTTTGGTCAGACGCAAAATTGACGTTGGATAGAACAGCATGCAGACACCAAGCCTTGGCCATGCTCTGGGTTATGGACAGATAAAAATCTTAATTATTCTTTTGCTGTCGCCGATTTTAAGTCTATCCACATTCAGGCTTCCGAAGTAATTATTATTTTGACTGCTCCGAGATAGTTGGTTTGATAATTTTTAAACCATAATAATAATAATAATAATAATAATAATAATAATCTTGAGACGATTATATAGGCTACTGCAAATGACTTGTCTTCGTGAAGTCATCTATACGTTGATTAAAGCTTGTTTAAATGAACAATCCATGATAACTAGGCCGTTGTGTAGCCTACATCTACTGAACACGTCAATTCAGTTAGCCTGCAAATACGCCTTCAATCATCTTGCAAACCGGTTTGTGTTAATCCTATCGTAATCAATTCGTGCTTTGCCAAAAATGACACCTATTTGG